AAAAGGTGGGTTATGATTGGTTGTAAAATGTGGGTTATTATTGGTTGCTTTGTGGGCCAATCATGAGGTGCCAGATATGCAAATCTGAGGGATTCTAGTGGCCAATCAGAGTATGGTTTTGAAGGTGAGGTTTTGAAGGGGAGCCAATCATGGCCTTTGGCATTGTGTAATTGTTTGCTCTCTGAGAAACCAGCGATATTCGCTGGTGCAGCCTCCCACAACATATATTTACCCTAACAAACTCATTTTGCTACCAGATAAAGAGTAGATTAAGCAATGAACACAGATGTAGCCACAAATGAATATTACACACATGAAGTTTCCAGACAAGGTTTGTTAATTTCTCTGAGAATGGGTCGTATGGTAATAACTTTGATTTGATTGTCTCACATTGCATGCATGCTTTGAAAAAGCATGTTGTACGCTGTAAAGGTGTACAATAATTAAATGTAAATAAGACATCATAAAATAAATTAAATTAAGAAAATTTAACGCTACTAAACAAAAAATTTTTTTAAGAAGATAATAAAAAAAATGCAACCCTTGGGAACCGGCAGTTAGTATAATGGCTATGTCTCTGGACTCCCACGTAGTTGACCGCAGTTTGCGTCTCAGACCTGGTGGCTTAAAACTCACGCCAGGCGCGTGTGCGTGCGTGCCCAAGATCCCGAGAGAAGAATGGAGGAGAAGAGATTGCGGCGTGACCATCCCCCCGGGGGGTGATTTCTCGCTTCTGTCTCTATGTCTCTCTCTGTCTGTCTGGCGAGCGCATGCACCCTATAGCAAAAACCTCTCCAAAAATAAATAAATAAATAAATAAATAAAAAATGCAACCCAAAAAATACAACAGCTGAGGAATACACCAAGTTTTTACAATAGAAAGAAAAAATAAATTAAATTAAGAAAATTTAATGCTACTAAACAAAAAAATTTTAATAATTACTCATTTTATTTTATTTATCCATTCATTTATTTTTAAATTTGACCAGAGCGAGACAGAGTGTGAGAGTGAGAGAGAGAGGAAGTGAGTAAGCAAGCCACCAGATTCAGGACTTGAACCCTGGTTGGCCATGTGGGAGTGTCCAGCGCCTTAATCATCATGCCACCTGCTGGTCCCCAACCAAAAAAATTTTAAGAAAATAACAAAAAAAATGCAACCCCAAAAATTGATCAGCCGAGGAATACACCAAGTTTTTACAATAGCAAAGAAAAAAAAATACTAAATGACGCCCAACGTGGGGCTCGAACCCACGACCCTGAGATTAAGAGTCTCATGCTCTACCGACTGAGCTAGCCGGGCAGTGTCCATTATTATCCTTTTCCTGAACAAGTATTCCTTGAAGAAGCGATTTGGTTTTAGCCGGCTTTGCATTTAAACTTGGGTTCATTTGTCATGTTAGAATTATGAAAACGGGGAAACTCAAACTCTACGCTCCGTGCGGTCCTCCTACTTCCGTTCCTTTTCTACTTATTCTGACCCCCAGTACCGCAGCCTTTTCCCATTTGCAGTGAAGAGCATGCCATGGAGTTAAAGGAACAGAGAAAGAAAGACGCGCATATCTTCATGCTACCATATCGGATCGCACTCTACGAATTTCTTTTTTTTTCCTTAGAAACCCTGGACTTTTGTTGAGATCAGAAACGCAATGCCCGAGGCTCGGGGCGTAGTCTGCCTTCTGAATCTCTCTAATCTACTAGCCTCAGGAGGGAAAAGTGGAAGTGCAAAACGTCACTGGAGATGCCGGGGATCGAACCCGGGGCCTCATACATGCAAAGCATGCGCTCTACCACTGAGCTACATCCCCACTTGCACCGCACTGTCTGTCATAACTCCCTTAGCCACCAGGTGCAAGGCGCGGGGAGGACGCGCTGCGCGAGCCTCCAGCCACTGCAGCCGGGGCCGCCTGCCGAGCTGGGCAGTCCTGGCTGAC